CTGCTGGCACCTGCCCCCGTCCCTGCGGCTCCGTCCCCTCACGCCTCGCCGCCGCTCTCCTCCGTTTCCATCCCCTCTCCCGCGGTGACCTCCGCCCCTTTCCCGCCCCCGCGCCGCTTTTTCAGTGGGGTCTTTTAGGGGACCGGCGAGAGCCGCGGTGCTCGGGTGCCGTCCGGAGGCGTCTGTCGCGGAAGGAGCACGCCGTGAATAGGAAGGTGTCATCGGGGAGCCTTGCCCCCAGCCTGGTTTCCAAAGAAGGGCGGCAGAACAGTTGTAGGAGAGAGGTGCAGCTGGAAGAGCTGGTTTTGTCTTTCCCTGACCTCTACGTGTGAGAGCTCCTCCCTCTCCCATATTCCGCTCTCTTACATGCCGTATACCCGACTTCCTCTGTGCCTGCAGAAGCATTCCCATTCTTTCCCTGTTTATGGCACGCTGTTGCCTATAACGTTACCAGAAGGCAGTTTGTGACACAAGACGCTTCGAGAAATCTTAGAAATGTTTCAATGGAAGACGCTGTGGTTCATACCAGGAAGGATAACAAGTTGTCTTTTATTGCTGCTCATAGGGAGGAGTGTTGCAGAACGAACCGTGATAGTAACTGCTGCCTATCTCGGCATACCAACATTTTTCAGTTGTGGTCATTTAATGCTCTCAGGCAAATAGGTGACAGTAACGTAAGTGTTCGCAGCAGAGTGCGTCTGCTCTCAACCATGCTTAAATACCAGGAAGGGCTATTGGAATTTCTCTAAAGTATCCTGCATCTTGAAATACTGGGAATAAAAACTGAATGATATCATGGCTACTAGGAAGATACAGCTTCACTAAATAAATAGTGTTAGTCGATAGAGCATCCAAAAGTGGGATATACATAACTGTTTACATACGTAAAACTAACTGCATGAAGTTAAGTTGGGAGTTTTAAGGATTGGGTTAAGAAATCTTATGCTGAAGAAATTTTACGCTTGCATATTAGATTGCAGATTTTAGCAAAATCTTTGTAACACAGACTTCTGCCAGTGAGAGGTGTCATACTGTAGGTTTAGTGAAGAATTTGCTAGTTAAAATTAGTTTTCATGGGCAGTGAAAACAATATTTTGATAGAGTTGATGTTCGAGGAAACCAATAAAAAGTTCTAAGTTGGAAAACGAAAGCTTTCATGTAATGACTTCTTTAACTTCTGTTAATTTTTTTCTGTGGGCTACAAAAGACCTGAAACCTGAAACTCTTATTCTCTGATTCTGCAAAATTGGTGACAGTATTTTTGTGTGTGCATGTGTCAACATTAGAATGAACTTAGTGGTTGACTATACCTGCTCTGACCACTTGTGTTGCACAAGTGTTTTGAGGGCTTTATCAGGATGAAGTTCCTCCTGGGTTAAGTGCTCTGCACCTGCACTGTGTGGTATTTGACTGTCATCCAAAGAACCGAGAGAGGCAAAAAGGCTGATTAATTACAGGCGATGTGTCAAAAGGTGTTCTTTCCTTTATCTTTCCCTGTATCCTGTGTTTTGTCATATCAGTTTCTTGTGTTCTGTGAAAGCCAAAATGATGTTGTTCACTCAGAGATGATTGGTTGCACTCAGAGATGAGCGCATGGCCCACAAAAAAGGGGAAATTTTTATTTTTATAGTTTATTTTGCATTGTTGATAAAATTTTAGCAGCTGTCACATCTTATTTCGGGGCTCTGTGCTCTTTTTTTAATGGTTTACTTCATTATTGGGGGGAAAAAGGGGGATAATGGGGATAAAGGAGGAGATGCAGTCTGACTCTGTTTGGGTTGGGGGTTATATTTTTCAGCTGTCTGACAGTGTCATTGATCGTATGAAGGAACCTTCTTCACCCAGTGGAAGACCACAGTCTCAGCACCGATCAGCATCTGGTGCAGGTATGCCCACGTTTTCATTTTTTTAATGGGAGGAAGAAAATCAAATGTGCCTTTCAAAGCGTTGTAATGAACCCACTGTGATTTCGTAGAGGTGATGTTTTTTTGACATTAACTTTTTTGCTCATCTCCTTTTGAAGAAGGAAGTAGTTTGTAGGCTTTTAGCGAAGTTATATTACTCTATATTTTCTTCTGACTGACATTAAAGTGAAAACCACAACTGTTTATTAGACTTGGTTTTCTAAGGTATTATCCATTATTAAAGACTTTTTTTTTTTAAACACAAAAAGCAAGTACCCATTCCAAATACATATTGGAGTTCTGAAGTGAAAATTCTTGCATACTTAATCAGCACTGAATTTTAGTACAGTGAGCTTTTGGTGAAATATACTTAAGCAAACATTAAAAGAATAATATGCTATTTTCCTATCATGGAATAGTGGAAATAAGTCGCATACGGTTTATACAGATTGATGGCTCAAAATGATGGCTTTCTTAACATTTTATATTTCGTTATTGAGCCCTGTTCAAATGCATCAAACAGGCTTCGTGCCAGGCAGCCTGCGCTCTAATTTAAAATACTTCAGCACGGTGAATATGACATAGCTACTGAAGGAGTGGAAATGAATGGCAGAGATTGGAGCATGTGATTTAAGTTTGTTGTCTGTGTGAAACCTGTAAGGTTCAAGTAAGGCTTCTTATCAGTGTTCCAGAAGTATTAACGACATCAGTATTCCCTAAGGGCCTCTTGCCTCAGTACGTACAAAAAATCCCATCAAAACTCAACACCCTGATGAAAAACAAGTCCTGTGGCAGCAGGGGGCCTTGCAGCAAGACTTGAGTGAACGGAACGTAGCACCTTTCATGTGAAGCACAGAAAGTCGGTTTCCTGTTGCTTAATTGAAGGTGTCTATGGTGCAGGTGTCTGTATCCGAGCTGGGCTGCCTCTGTAGTCAGTGGAAAGAAAAAGACGTTTTGGGGGACAATTCGTCTGGCTTATTTGAGAATTCTACTTGAGGATGAGGTGAATTGCCCTCTAGGAACACCGGGGTGAAGAGGTCAGGTGTAAGCCTCTGACGATGTCAGGCGAATCCAACACAGGATGTCTTACAAATAGCGGGGCCCCCAAATTATGCTGTTTTAGAGGTTTGTTTTTCCACTTTATGAATGGGAAGACTGTGGCATAGCGAAGGCAAGGAAAATATCAGTGCTAAAAACTACTTGAACTGTCACCTGGCTTGTGAAATGTAGTTTGCCCAATAAAATGGCTTAGAATGTAATGCTTCCTTAAGTAAGGTTTGAATGGGGTAGGGCTGTAGTTTCATGCGTGGACTGCCAGATCGTCCATCTTTTTTTCTTTTTAAATAGTAGCCTTCTCATTGTGTATTTTGCTGTGGTGAAGAAATTATTCTAGGTATAGGATTTATATGAAATAATACTTGTGCATCCTACCTACTTTCACGGCGGTGCTTTTTGCTTTTTCATCCTTAAACCTGGGTTGTGGAAGTAGTCTTGTGAATAAGGATCTGTGATTTCTGGGTTGTGGTGACTAGAGATGAAAGCTGTAATACCCCAGTAATTCTTTGCTAATTCACAGTATGTAAATATCTTTATTTTGTTTCTCTTTGTGTGTTGGAAATAGTGGGTTTTTTATTATTTATTTTTATTTATCAAAAGGCTTAATGAACCGCTTGACCTTTCACAAGCTTGAGAAACCTTATGCGTATTTTTGCTTTAAGAACTAGTGATTTAGGTGAAGTGCTTGTATTTCGCCAGGAGCTATAATCAGTGTTATACCTCAGTTGCTAAAATGATCTGTATTTAAGAGGATTAAATTATACTTAAGTACACGTTACCATACCATCCATTTCTCTTTCTTTGAATGTTTTTTGACGAAGAATTACAAACTATTGAATTTCTTTGATGCAGTAAGAACAGTCAACCTATTTGTTTAATTTGTAGCTACGTCTAACCTGTCAGTCTGCATTTGTCTGATAAGGTGTCATTACAGGAAGGGCACTCGCTTCAAAGCTAGTGCTCTGATCACTTGATATTGAACTACTCTGCGTTAATGGCTGTGGGGGCTGGATCCCAAATCTGGGGATCTTCTTTCCATGATGCAGCAGTGCTGGGGCTTAGTTTCTTGGTAAAGCCTCTTGCGCTGTTAATGAGAGATCTCTCTCCAGGCAGCTCCTCCCCTCCTGTTT